GTGAGGACCGATTGGGACCGGCCCGGGACCGGTTTTTGGCCATCTCTAATATAGACATATCACATTAAGGTCACATATAATTTAACATTTAAGTAAATATACGACATATAATAGCACAAACACTACAACAAAATCGGGTTTATAGGACACTCACAAATTCTAAGTGTCCTAATAACTTCTTTATAAGACCAAAAAAATAAAGCGTCCTATCTAGAGGTGTTGTAATAAGTTTATATGATAATTTTTGACGTCATAATAAGTTTTTTAGGACACTTTTAATATAAAGTGTCCCATTATCAACTTTATAGGACACTATTTGAAAAATTGTCCTATAAAAACAAGTGTCCTATAAAAAATGAGTTTATAGGACACTTTCTCAAAAGTGTTCTATAAAGTTGTTAATGCGACACTTTGTATTAAAGATGTCCTAAAAACTTGTTAAGACGCCCAAAAACGTCATATAAACTTATTACAACACTTTTAGATAAGACACTTTATATTTTGGTCTTATTAATTATGTCTTTTAAAGAGGTCTAATGGAACACTTAAAGATTAGGGGTGTCCTATAAACTCAATTTTGTTGTAGTGAAACCACAGTATCCTCACGTAACAGATAACCATAAGGTGAAGACAAGCAAACTTTTCCAAAATGACATTACCATCTTAGATTTTGACATAACAACGTAAGACACTAATTAAATACGAGTTAAACTTGCAAGAAAGAAAGTGGTTGGATGATGCTAATGTTACAAACTATTCAACGAATAGTAGGTAGATGATTTATGGTCAAAATTATGTAGGGGCAAATAGGTAAATAAAGAACAATGATACTAAGGGCTCGTTTGTTTTTTGAAAAAAACCACTTAATGCCTCTTAAGTTTGAACCGGTCAGACGTTTTTATTTTCAGACCGTTTTTTTTTTTACGTAAATAAGAGTTGAAAAGCTCTTAATTTGCTTTGAAAAAAAAGTGAAAATATAATCACTTAAATCCTCTTAATCGCTCCCTCCAGACTCTCCCCTCCATCCTCACCTCCAGATTTAGTCCTCTAAATCTATCTCACAAGACATTCGATCTCCAAATCAATCATGACCCAGATCGATCCACATATTCTTGTAAAATCATGACCCAGATCGATCCAAATCTATCAGATCCAAAACTTGACTGATTCAGATTTCAGACGTAAAAACAAACAGTCTGACTGATTCAGATTTCAGACTTTAGTACCACCTCTTAAAATTCAGAAGTAAAATCAGACTTCAGACTTCAGAACCTCTTAAAAAACAAACGCCACCTAAGTTTCGTCGTCGTCGATGTTGCTGGTTGTTTATGACTTGGTTGGTTACATACTTGGTTACCCACATCTAGTTAAAGTACTTTATAGTATAAGAGCGTTAGTATTATTGATTTGTTAAATGACTGTTTAATTTCTATCAGGACAGCATTTGATTGAGTATTATGTTTACAATTACAGAAATTTATAGAACTGATATATGTTATAACAATTTATTAAAAGCAATAGAACGTATTTTCTTACAAAAATAGATGAAAAGGTTTTTAAATAACTTTATTCGACTTTATATTACAGATAAACTATCGAACTTTACATTGCAAACAAACTTTCGTTCTTGTAAAAATGGCCCATAGGAATAATACGCTCAAAACGGGATTTCGTCATGATGATGAATTGCAAGAAAAAGAATATGAGAAAAACGCTATAGTTTGTGAGAACGAATGGTTTTGAGTAAACTATATAAACATAAACGCAATAAAAACTGTTATATAGTTATATACTAAAAGGGTACTCGTGCATTACAACGAGATACATCTTCATTTTAATGTATTGTTTTATTTTTGTCTCCGTTGATATATAATACGGTTTATGTGGTCTTGATAAAGATAATATTTTTACTTTTGAATAAAAATAAATTTGAAGATATCATAAAAATTTAAAAAATATATCGATATTAATATCGAATTAACTATTTAAAAGTTCTCGTTTTTTTTACAATTTCTTTAATTCAAGTTTTTATTATAATTTACTTTAAGTCTAATAACAAAGTAATTTATTTTTGGCTTAACAATATAATTTTTATAAAGATAATGCTCATTTTATCCTGTATTTGATTATGTTTATCTGCGATTAGTTATATGAATTCAAAAATGAAGCTTTAATAAGTTGTATTTACGCATAATTTACTTGTAATATTATATTTTAGGTAATATGCATTAATAAATAATACTTCATACATAAAATTTGATTTTAATGAGTTTTTATCAAATATTTTATAATATAATATAAATATACAATATAATATCTCATTTATTTATTTTATTTTGACTTTGACCCGTTGCGTCAAGACTTCAGAACACCCTCACCATCAGTGCTGAATACAAAATACAAGTTGCTTTGTTTATCTTTTCATGTAGTGTTTTTCTTTTTGCATCCACAAATTTCTCTCTTCAAAACATTGCCAATAAGACACCCATGTGGCTGTTATTTTGCTATTATTAAAGGGCCGTTTATCAAACACTTACCCGATAAATGTTTATCAATAAAATCTAACACTATTATTTACTTATTGGATAAGATTTTAGTCCATCAAAACGACATTGTATGCAACAATTTACATGGTAAGCGTTTACCGTGGTAAGAGTCGTCGCTTTCACTTACCGGGTAATTTCAAAGTGTCTTATTAGACTGTTTTATAGGACCAAAAAATAAAGTATCATTTGTAAATGCATTATGATAAATTTATAGGACGCTTTTAAACGTTTTAACAAGTTTTATAAAACATTTTTAATACAAAATATCTTATTATTTATTTTATAGAACACGTTTGAAAAAGTTAAATCTTGGTCTTAATCCTATCCCATATCCAACTATCCATTTGGAAACAATGAAACAACACCCAACACCCAACACCCACGCCGACATTAACATAGGTGGTCGGTCCTCCAACCTTGTATTGGTAGGTACACCTTTGCTTTGAACATACTACTTGTGTTCGACCTTCATATGGATTTTTATGATTAATTATTTAATAATGTAAAATTTAATCTATTTTTTAATTGAATATATATTTGAATTTACAGTAAAATTACACTCTCTCTTCTTGTATAAGACACGTTTTCAAACTAAAAATATGATTAAACATTAACTTTTAATGCATCAATAATTTATATTTAATATTTCATAAATGTTGTTTTTGAAAATTTAAAATTTGTTGATTTTTTTAATCAAAATACTTTAAGATGGAATAAATATAGAATTATTCACCACAATGATCAAAATATACCTGATATATTAACGAAATAGCAAACTTTTATCAAAATTGCGAAAATATTCACACACATCACCCCGGGGGTAGAGGTTTGACCATGGGGGGCGATCCCCTCTTATTTGACTAAAAAAGTACAAAAAAATATATTATAAAATTAATTTGGTGGATTCCACATGCATCACCTTTAGGAAACCAAACACTATTTGCCTCGATAAGTGGGATCTATTCTCGGGGGTGATCCACCTCACCCAATATATCTTGGTCGTTTTGGTGATTTTCCCATAAATATATAGGGTCAGTCAGTTCAAATTTGTGAAAAAATACATTTAAAGATGCATCTGTGAATCTATATAAATAATCTTTCTTATCGGATATCTTTTTCCTCATTTTTCAACGTTCCGTTTTTTACATTCTCACGATATTTAGCTTTATTATTTAAATATCTAGTTTAAATACATATATCACTACAACTAAATTGGTTTTATAGGACGCCCCCAATCTTTAAGTGTCCCAATAGACCGTTTTATAAGATTAAAATATAAAGCGTCCTATCTAAAGGTGTTGTAATAAGTTTATATGACGGTTTTGAGCGTCTTAACAAGTTTTTTAAGACATTTTTAATACAAAGTGTCGCATTAGCAACTTTATAAACTCAATTTTTTATAAGACAATTTTTCAAATAGTGTCCTATAAAGTTGCTAATGAGACGCTTTATATTAAAAGTGTCCTAAAAAACTTATTACGACGTCAAAATGTGTCATATAAACTTATTACAACGCCTTTAAATATGACGCTTTATTTTTTTGTTCTTATAAACAAAGTCCTATAGAGAACTATATTAGAACGCTTAGAAATTGAAAATGTCCTATAAACCCGATTTTATTGTAGTGGAATATCCTTGATATTTAGATTAAGCGGCAAATACGACTTTGTATTTCCATAAATGGTGTGGTCAAATGGGTTCATTGCAACAAAACCCTCATCAACACATCATCGTTTTCCCCTATTTTCAGCAATCTTTCTACACTTCCCATTAAGCAAAGCACATCCTCCCATGGCTGGCCCCCACTAACCGCCATGCATCTTTATATTCAATACCCACAAATCCAAACCTCAATTAACCCAATTCTCCTTCAAAACCCTCCTGCAATATACATACATATACATATACATACACATATACATATATATACAGAGAGTGAGAACTGGGTTGTGTTTAGAGGTTTCTGAAGATGGGTTATCTGTTAATCGAAATGGGTGTGTGTTTATCGATGTTGTTGATGATGATATGTGTGGATTCACAGTCAAATGAGAGATCGTTGTGGATTGATGGAGAACACAAGATTGCAGAAACTGATAGTGATTTCATCTGTGCAACCATGGATTGGTGGCCCCCTGAGAAGTGCGATTATGGTGTCTGCAGTTGGGACCATTCTTCTCTTCTCAATGTGGTATGTATCTATCTCTATCAACCTAAATATACCTATATTCGCTTGCTTTTTTTAGCCACAAAATCCTTTTCTATCGGTTTTATCTCTTGACCCGTAAATCAGACACTGTAAGCTATCGTTTGTCTGCAGTGTCAGATTTTCTCTGACAAATTCTAAAGTGTCCGTAAGCGGAAACCATAGCTTGTGGGGGCCGTAGGCCGAAAGTTGGATTTGGTCAGAGAAGTCTGACGCTGCAAACAAAAGTTGACTTGCAGTGTAAAACCTAAAATATGATCCGGACAAAATTGCCCCAAGGCCCTGACATGTTAATTAATATATATATATATATATAATATATATATATATATATATATATAGGGTATATTTTTTTTACAACCTTGTGCATTTGTACAACCTTTGCAACCCAATTAATTGAGATATTTATAGAAATGATTGGAGTTCATTTATTATGATTTGAATATTCATGGAATATGAATAGAGTTTATTAATTATGATTAATATTTTATATTAGAAAACAATTAATTGATTAAAAATTGAATGGTTGAGATGAGGGTTGTATAGGGTGTACGAATGGCAAAGGGTGTAGAATAACATCCCTCTATATATATATATATATGTCAAGAGGAACCCACTAAGAACACCACATACCAAACCCAAGCAATTAAATGATTCATTTAATGCTGAAGGGTTGGGGTTTATTAGGTACATTATATTTTGTTTTGGCTCATATATTGGACAACTTCTTCTACACTGTACTAAGTTCCAAAATTTATTACTCCATCTATCCTAATAGATGTACATAGGTAAGAAAACATCTGATTTAAAAATGTGTAATCACTGCAATTGTAGGAAGTAATGGTTCTTCTCATCATGATTAATGGTGGAATCTAAAAATAGACATTTTAAAGCATCGACAATGGTGTAACCTTTAAAATCTCACTTTTCATATTTTTTTCTTGTCACATCAACAAAATAAAAATCTTAATAAAACTCTACAATTGAGGTTTTTAGAGAAACTTTATTTTTTATTTATAAAATGTAACTTTATTTTAAATTTAGTATTTATACATATATCTACTATTAAATTATTAAAAAAGTTCAAATTTAATTTATCAATTTTCACCTTTCTATATTAATTTAATTTGTTAATAAAATTAAAATGGGGATTGAACAACAATTGATAAAATTTGAGGATATTCTGGAATTTGTTGGTCTTGGAGAATGTCGGAGATATGGAGAATTTAGATGCATTTAAGAGTTTTTTGATTCTCAATGTTTTTTTTCATTTTTTTGAAGGAGATGTATGAGTAATGAGTCATCTATGTATATAGACAGTTCAATCTCTCTCTCTCTCTCTCTCTCTCTCTATATATATATATATATCTAAAAATAGAAAAAAGATATTCTACTGTTATTAATTTACGATTTATAAATTATTTTATATATATATATATATAATACTCGCGCAATACAACGAGACACATCTTGATTTTAATGTTCTATTTTATTATTTGTCTATGTCGATGTTATAATACGATTTTATGTGTTTTTAAGAAAGCAATAATGATTTTATTTTTGAATAAAATATAAATTTGAAGATATCATAAAAATTAAAAAAAAAATATGTATCAATGTTAATATCAAATCAACTATTTAAAAGTTCTCATTTTTTATGTAATTTCTTTAATTTATTTTTTTATTATAATTTAATTTAAGTTTAATAACGAAATAATTTATTTTTGGTTTAAAATATATTTTATAAAAATAATAATTAAGTATTCTGTTAGAACTCAATGATTATTCTGATTATTTTAGATTTTTTATATTTAAAATGTGATGTTTATACTGTATTTGATTATATTTATCTGCAGTTAGTTACACAAATTCAAATATGGAGCTTTAATAAGTTATACTTACACACAATCTACTTGCAATCTTGAGTTTTAAGTAATATGCATTAATAAACAATATTTTACCTATAAAAAGTGGTTTTTAAGAGTTTTTGTCAAATGCTTTATAATATAGTATAGATATAAAAGTATCCAGAAAATAATCTAATTATATAATATAATGAGATAATTAAAAAACTAAACTTATTAAAATAAAATACAAAGTCTTGTATAAAAGATTTAGATAATTTTTTTTAAGTAACGATAAATAAAATAAAATTAATAGATATATTTTATAATAACTAGAAGAGTACTCGCGTAATGCAGCGAGATACATCTCGATTTTAATTAACTATTTTATTATTTGTCTCTGTCGATATTTTAATACGATTTTATGTGTTTTTAAGAAAAAAATAATGATTTTATTTTTGAATAAAATATAAATTTGAAGATATCATAAAAATTTAAAAAAATATATATATCAATGTTAATATCAAATCAACTATTTAAAAGTTCTCATTTTTTATGTAATTTCTTTAATTTATTTTTTTATTATAATTTAATTTAAGTTTAATAATGAAATAATTTATTTTTACTTTAATAATATAACATTTTATAAAGATAATAATTAAGTATTCTGTTAGAACTCAATGATTATCCTAATTACATTTTAGATTTTTTATATTTAAAATGAGATGTTTATTCTGTATTTGATTATGTTTATCTGCAGTTAGTTACACGAATTCAGATATAGAACTTTAATAAGTTGTACTTACGCACAATCTACTTGCAATCTTGAGTTTTAAGTAATATGCATTAGAAAACAGTACTTTACGCATAAAAAATGGTTTTTAAGAGTTTTTGTCAAATGCTTTATAATATAGTATAGATTAGTTAAAAATTATTTTGTATCAATCTTAATTTATATGTTTTATAGATTTGTTAAAATAAAATAAAATAAAATGGTTAATAAACAACAAAAACTAATAGAAAAAGAATGTAGATGATAACTCGAGTTCTTGTTCAAGCACTTGAGTTCTTATTAGAACCTTGTGACTGGACAAGAATTATCCCACCCAAAATAAACCTCATCAAGAATCTCTATAACATAGACAAATATTGACATTCAATTAAGATTGATTTAAGGGTAGAACAATATCTTCTTACGCTTCTCATTGAACCCAACCCTTCGGCAAAAACATGAAACGGAAGTAAAAATACATATAAGTGGGACCCCTTTCTGAATCTCATATTGGTACATCACGTGGGACCAGGGACGGACCCAAGAATATTTGGATACGATGACACCATATAAAACGGTTGCACCTTTCACGAATCTAATTTTTTTTACATTACCACGGATGAATAATACGGTGGCACGTGCCATCTAACCACCCCTATAGGTCCGTCTATACGAGACCATCCTGAATGGAATAAATAGTTTCAGAAGGTCAATTAGGATTGCCAAATATAGAAAGGATGATCATAGATGATGTACAAGAGACACTTTCGGTTTAGGAACAAGGGTCTTTTCGTATTTTAACATCTTTATTTGTCTCCAAAAGAAAATGAAACAGACGCACTAATTATAACTGTTATATTTGAATTTTCATTACGAAATAACAGTTAGAAATCGTCTAAAACCATTCAACACGACATATTTAATGTTTCTTTTCTTCTTCATTTCAACAGGTAAAAATTAAGCGTATTACACCAAAATTATAACACCATTGTTGAAAAGTTCATTCAACACGACATATTTAGTGTTTTCATTTCATTTCATTTCAACAAGTAAAATAAGCGTGTAGCAATCAGAATATGACTGTCAAAAAGCTCGTACTGTACCTGTTGAAATAACTTCTTCCGTTTTGAATTATTTAACTTAAACAAAGTACGTTTAATTAACATCAAATTTTGAATAAATTGGTTTCTTTGCGTTTGAAAGAATATTTAATCGCATTGAATGTATATTAGCGGAAACAAATTACAAATAAAAAACCGTAAAAACTCCGTATTTTGAGTTCAAAAGGAATTACTAAGGGCTTGTTCGTTTTGTAATTGAATTTCATTTTAATTCTGTGCTGTATTTGGTTTGAAGAAAAATTTGGATCTGAAATCCGATATTTCAATAAAATCCCAACATCGACAAATACAGAAATCCCTTGCAGATAACTGTCATTTCAAATTTAAATGTTTTCATCACATCTTATCAAATATGCCAGAATAGAGCCATTGCTTCCATATCTTACCAATTATAAAAATAACCACAAGGATAATGTCTGATTGGTTTGAGTTTGGCTCCAAAGGTCAAAAGTACCGGGAGGTTCCAGGTTCAAATCCAAGGAAGAATAAAAATCCCCTTGTGGCCATGGAGGTTCAAATGCGGTGACTCCAGGCTATCTGCAAATCAGGTGGTCGCCTTGGGATTAGTCAGCTCGCATAACAAGTTGGATATCCAGGTTAATAAAAAAAATTAACAAATACTTATAAAAAAAAATTAAATTTCATTCCAAATTCTATAAATCCAAACAAAAATATATGAAAATAAAATAAAAATCAGGGCTGTTTAACGGTTGCTGAATAATTTGGTGTAAAATGATTAAGTGATCAGAATAAGAGGCTCTCATGATACAGTACAAAATAAAATAAATTGTTTGATAATTGTTTTACTATGAATTTAAGAGCTGAATGATTAAAGGAGGCCTAACATACAAAATCAATAATTTCCTTTCATTTGGTTTGCAAACCAGGGATGTAAATGTAAACCCATATTCAAATTTTTCAAAAAGCTTAAGCAAATTCTTGGTCTGTGCAGGATCTTAACAACAAGATCTTCAAGAATGCCATTAAAGGTGAAAAGCAGCACCATTTTTCCATCAAATTGATCTGAATGAAATAAGCTGATGTCCCTTGAATTTCTTTTTGTAGCTTTTTCTCCATTAAAGATCAGATTAGGAGGCACTTTGCAAGATGATGTTATCTACCAAACCCAAAATCATCAAGAACCCTGCAACCCCTTCATCAAGAACACCTCTGAATTATTTGGTTTCACCAAAGGTTGCTTGCCATCATCCAGATGGGATGAACTCAACACATTCTTTCAAGAAACTGGGTAATCAAATCAAACCATTATTTTGTGTTTTTGATTTCAGTACAGCTGTTAGAGTGTCTGTTTTCATTAAGACCTTCGGCATGTGAATTTAAGACGTTTTACTCGGCTTTTGAATTCAGGGCTGTGGTTACGTTCGGACTGAACGTTCTCATGGGAAAGACGGTGCTAGCGAATGGTTCCACTGTCGGAGCTTGGGACTCTACGAATGCCCAAACTTTAATGCGTTACACAGTTCAAAAGAACTACACCATCTACGGTTGGGAACTTGGTATGTGAATCCACACACTTCATTTGGGGGTAAACGTTTTACTATAACTTAAACGTCAAAACTTCTTATAGGTAACGAGTTAAGTGGAAACGGAATTGGTGCAAGTGTATCTGCATCTCAGTATGCAATCGACACAATGAACCTCCAGACCGTGGTGCACCGCGTTTACAAGGATATCGAAGCTAAGCCTCTGATCATCGCACCTGGAGGGTTCTTCAATCCAAGCTGGTTCAAGGAGTTCCTAGCCAAAACACCCGAGACCCTGAACGTAATCTCTCACCACATCTACAATCTTGGCGCAGGTATCTTTCCTAAACCAGAACTCAAACCAAACCAAACCAAACCAGCCCATTATATCCCACCTGAGGTTCAATCTTTTACGCCCATCATTTGTGGCAGGGGTCGATCAAAACCTAACCGAAAAGATTCTCGATCCATCTTATCTTGATGGGGTGGCTGACACTTTCAAGAAACTTGAACTCACCATCAACACTTCTGCAAGTTATGCATCTGCTTGGGTTAGTGAGGGTGGTGGAGCTTACAACAGTGGCCAAAATCTTGTCACTAATGCATTTGTTTTCAGTTTCTGGTAAGCTTCCCAAAAGCGTACTATCAACTTATTGTCACGTATTTACATAGGGTGTATAATTGTTTGGTCTTCTAAACTGGAGTCCTATAAAACAGTTTATTAACACATTTAGACATATTTGACGTCCTATAAAGCCGATTTTGTTGTAATATTATTTTCCCTAATGCAGGTACTTGGATCAGCTGGGGATTTCATCTGTTTACGACACGAAAACATACTGCAGACAGACTTTGATAGGTGGAAACTACGGATTGCTTAATACCTCTACCTTTAAGCCGAATCCAGACTACTACAGGTTCGTAACAAAATTTCTTGATTCATGTTTCGAAGACCACTTTTTTTATGTCGAATGCTTTAAAAGATCATATTGTAAATGGAATTATGTTTGTTTCTTACCAGCGCGCTTCTTTGGCACCGATTAATGGGGAAAAAGGTTCTATCTACACGATTTCTCGGCCCCAAGAAGATACGTGCTTATTCACATTGCGCCAAAGAATCCGTAAGTTTGCTACACGCTACTACAAAATCGGCTTTATAAGACGCCATAAATGTTTAAATGTCTTAATAGACTGTTTTATGGGACTTAAATCTATAGAACCAAACAATTGTGCATCATATCAGCTTTCTATAGGACATTTCTTCAGATGAATGCCATATAAAAAAGTCTAATAAGAAGCTTTATTTCGGAAGTGTCATATAAAACTTGTTAGGACACCCAAAAACATCTTGGTAACACCTTTACATACGACACACAATTATTTGATCCTATAAAGTAGTCTAGGACATTTAGACATATTTTGACGTCCCATAAAACCAAATTTGTTGTAGTGCCATCACTCACCAACAAAATCGGGTTTATAGGACACTTCCAAATTCTAAGTGTTTTAATAGATCTCTTTATAGAACTTAGTTTAATAGGATCAAAAAAATAAAGTGTCTTATCTAAAGGTGTTGTAATAAGTTTATATGACGTTTTTTTGACGTCGTAACAAGTTTTTTAGGACACTTTTAATATAAAACGTCTCATTATTAACTTTATAGGAAACTATTTGAAAAATTGTCCTATATAAACAAATGTCCTATAAAAAATTGAGTTTATAAGACAGTTTCTCAAAAGTGTCTTATAAAGTTGCTAATGCGACACTTTGTATTAAAAATGTCCTAAAAAACTTGTTAAGACGCCCAAAAGCGTCATATAAATTTATTACAACACCTTTAAATATAACACTTTATATTTTGGTCCTATAAATTAAGTTCTATAAAACGGTCTATTGGGACGCTTAGAGATTGGGATGTCCTATAAACCCAATTTTATTGTAGTCACTTCCACCCCGATCGACCCAACTTATGACGCTTTTTTGATCTTTATTGCAGAAGGGAATAACGGTATTGCTGATGAATCTCGACAACAGTACCAGTTTTGATGTAAAATTATCGGTTAATAGTACCTGGAGACTACACAAACACAGGTCTCATACTCATCGTCATCATCATCATCATCGTCATCATACAACAAAGCATGCTCATGAAACAAAAACCGGTGGAAAAAGAATACGAATACGAACACGACAAGAATACCATTTGACCGCAAAAGATGGAAATTTGCATAGTCAAGTGATGATGCTGAACGGAAAAGAATTAACGATAAATGAATCTGGTGACATACCTTCGTTGGAGCCTTTGTATACGAATTCTTCGGAGCCAATAACCGTTGCTCCTTATTCCATCGTATTTGCACATATCCCGCATTTTACTCTGCGTGCTTGCAAACGTTAGGGGAAAAGAATACACGAAGCCGATAATCGGTGCCAATTTGGTTACAGAATATTAATCATAAACATGTAACAACACACATATGTGTTCATAGCAAAAATTTTATCAATGAAATCTTGATTTATATATAACTAAAAAGTTAGTACGAGTGATTCAATCGGGAATCTCGTGTTGAAAGCTCGATGTATCTTCTTAAACAATCGAGGATCGCTGATACCCTTTTGTCAACTACACAATTGCGGCTATGTTTAGCAATTAGTTGTTGGCTAATAAGCTAGTTGTTCGTTAATACGCTAGCTAATAAACAAGTCATGTTTGGTTAAAACTCGCTCATAAGCTAAATGACCATATACAATTACCTAAAAGGACACGGATTTTGTATCTACAAAAAATATAAGGGGTATGGTTAAAAGGGAAAATGATGAAAATAACCACTTTATATAACCCTCTTACACAAAATAATCAGTTTTTAAGGGGTTTACAAAACTAACCACACGGATCTCCCCTGGGGGCGATCCGTACTAGTGGGGGGGCAATCCTGCATTTTTCTTAGGAAATTTAAAAAAAAAAAAAATCACTTGGGGCGAGCCACATCATCGGGGGCGATCCAGACTTTTTTTCTTTCTTTTTTTATAATTTTTTTTAATACCAATTTCACTATAAATATCAACCTCCTATTTCATAATTTTTCACACTTTCCCTTTCATTTCTCTTCTCATATATTCTACTCTCACAACCTTTAACCCATTAAACACAATTAACCATCACAAAACATGAAATCACGTCAAAGTGATTATGTTTGTGTGTATCTTCGAAGTGGCGGTAACATTTATATATATATAGAGATGCATTACGTAAAAAAAGCGATATAAACGGTACAAAAATTGAAACTTCGTATTTTATACGTATATATGCGTACGGGTTTTAACCCATACATATATTTACGTATTTTCACGTACGTTTTACGTACGTATTTTATACGTATATATGTGTACGGGTTAAAACCCTTATGCATATTTACGTATCTTCACATATGTATGTACGTATATATGTGTACGTATGTATATACACATATATATACCTACTTACATTTACGTAAAAAAAACGATATAAATTGCAGTAACGTGTATATATATATATATATATAGAGAGAGAGAGAGAGATGCATAACGTAAAAGAGCGACATAAATTGCGGTAACGTATATATATATAGAGAGAGATGCATTACGTAAAAAAAAAGATATAAACGGTAGAAAAATTGAAAATTCGTATTTTAACGTATATATGCGTACGGGTTTTAACACGTACGCATATTTACGTATATTCACGTACGTTTTACGTACGTATTTTTAACGTATATATGCGTACAGGCTTTAACCGCCATTTCGAAGATACACACAAACATCATCACTTTGACGTGATTTCATGTTTTGTGATGGTTGATTGTGTTTAATGGGTTAAAGGTTGTGAGAGTAGAATATATGAGAAAATAAATGAAAGGGAAGGTGTGAAAAATAGGTTGATATTTATAGTGAAATTAGTATTAAAAAAAGAAAAAAAAAAGAAGCCGATGACGTGGCTAGCCCCAAGTGGAAAAAAAGAAATTAATTTTTTTTTTCCTAAGAAAAAGGCCGGATCGCCCCCCACTAGTACGGATCGCCCCCCACTAGTACGGATCGCCCCCGGGGGATATCCGTGTGGTTAGTTCTGTAAAACCCTTAAAAACTGGTTATTTTGTGTAAGAGGGTTATATAAAATGGTTATTTTCATCATTTTCTTTAGTTAAAACAAGAGTACACTACGATTTTCGTCCCAATGGTTTATTAAAAATTGTGATTTTCATCCATCTGCTTTTGAAATCACGGTTTTCATTCGTAAGGCTAAATCCATCGGTGTAAATGGGAAATTGAAAACTTACTTTTAAAAGCGAATACTTGTTTTGGAACAAACTAAAATAGCAATATGGACATTTAAAAGGGTAAGTGCTTACCGGCAAAAGTCATACTCTCATTTACCTTATCAAAATAACATTCTCAAACATCAAAACAGATTGTTTATAAGTAATGGTAGCTTATTCGATCAGATAAAAAGAAGCTCATCTGTTGCCATTACTTGAAATAAACCTCCGAAAACCCACAATGATGTTGGTAAAAGTAGTAGAATAAAAAGTCCGACCTGCCGGATTCGAACCAGCGACCTAAGGATACCAGCTGAACAACTACAGTCCTCCGCTCTACCAACTGAGCTAAGGTCGGTTGTGCTCTTACCTTCAAAATTTATTATTTATTCATTTACAATAAATTTTTAAAAGAATAAAAGCGAAAATTTTATGTGTTGTATATGAAAAAAATATATATTTCAAATTTTGTTATATGATTATAAAAAAATTAACTACAACAAAATCGGGTTTATATGACACTCTCATTTTCTAAGTGTCCCAATAGACATTTTTATAAGACCAAAAAAATAAAACGTCCTATCTAAAGGCGTTGTAATAAGTTTATATGACTTTTTTGACGTCGTAATAAGTTTTTAGGACACTTTTAATATAAAGCGTCACATTAGCAACTTTTTAGGACACTATTTGAAAACTGTTCTATAAAAACAAATGTTATATAAAAAATTGAGTTTATAGAGCACTTTCTCACAAGTGTCCTATAAAGTTGCTAATGCGACACTTTGTATTAAAAATGTCCTAAAAAACTTGTTAAAACGCTCAAAAGCGTCATATAAACTTATTACAACACCTTTAGATATGACGCTTTATATTTTGGTCATATAAATTAAGTCTTATAAAGAGGTGTCCTATAAACCCAATTTTGTTGTAGTGATTGTATATTAGATTAATAGTCTACTTTAATTTATTTAAGATGTAAACATTTGGTTCAACATAGGGGCCGTTTACCAAACGCTTACCCGGATAAACGCTTACCATGTCACATTACTTTACTGGATGAATACGGTAAAGACCAAAAATCTTACCTGGTAAGCGGGAGACAAGGACCGAGAGTCTTACACGGTAAGTGAGGGTGACGACTCTTACTATGGTAAGAGTTTACCGGGTAAATTGTTGTATATGATGCCGTTTTGATGAACTAAAGTCTTATCCGGTAGTAAGTGGTAGTGTTAAATTTTACCGATAATCGCTTACCGGGTAAGTGTTCGATAAACGACCCCTATACTTCAGTTGTGAATTAATAGTATAATCATTTTTTGACGGTTTAATTTGAGATTGAATCATGAGTCTCTCTTCGATTAATATTAACGTCTTCTAATATTTGAGTTAATTTGTTTATGTTTATGTTAATAGTTAAATTCAACAATAATTTGAGGCCGGCTTTTTTAGGGTTAATTTGTTTGTATTTCTGTCAATATTTAAATTAGTTTCCGCTAATTTGATGACGAGTTTTTGAATATTTCGGTCATTTATGTATAAAAAGAAGAATCGTTTGTAAGCATCACGAATGAAAATGTAATTAACAGCTTTTAAAAGATGAAGATTCGTAGTGAACAACCGGATGAAATAAATTGTTTATCATTTTAACAAAACTATATTTTTTATAATTTAATTTTATTATATCTTATATTCTGGTATATATATTTTTTATTAACCTGGATATCTAACCCGCTATGTGAGCGGACTAATCCCAGGGCGACCACCTGTTTTGGAGATAGTCCAGAGTCATCGCATTTGAACCTCCGTGGCCACAAGGGGATTTTTTATTCCTTCTTGAATTTGAACCTGAGACCTCCTGATACTTTGGAACTTTGGAGCCAAGCTCAAACTAATCAAGCACCACCCTTGTGGTTTATTCTGGTATTTATTTGGTCTTAGCACTCCAAAAATTTCCTACACTCCCCTCTAAGAAAATTTGCATCGACCCAGAAGAAAAAGATCCCAAAACGATTAAAAAAAATAAGTATTTGAACTTTTCAAAAGCAAATGCGAAAATGAATGCTAGAGATGATCAGAGTTTGAAACTTTTTTGACAAGTACGTATAATGATTGTCAGGTCCGTTTATGACATTTTATAGGCTCTGGACGAGATGTAAAAAGGGCCCATCGATAATACTAAAAAAATTCAGCATAGTGTTTTATCATCAGAAATTACATGAATTCAAAAAATACTAATAGTTCATATAAAATCGTATTTCTGAGTACTCGTAGACGTAAAATCAATCAATAATCACCTCTAAGTTAATATACCTTTAGCATATAGATTGATATCATTTGAGCTCACAATATCAACTATTCAGAGTAACACTTTATGTAAATCAATATAAATCAGTTGGGTTTCCATCTCACATCATGTTAATGTTTTCATCACCATTTTAACCTTTCAGGGATAAACCAATTTCTTTTAGGAACCATCAATCTTAGAATCAAAAGTCCATCTTGATTATAGTTTGATATCTTATTGTTGTTTTAGAGATAAGTGAGTACTTAATATTTATGTACTCAGTATTAGGTAATAAGGAGTCAATAGTGTACAAAAAAAGTCAATAGTAGTTTTGAAATCTTATATATATAGGGTTGGGTTCACGTGAGACCAGTCTGGTGAGACCCGTGAGACCACATTTTTACACGTAAAAAAACTCGAACCTTCACAACAAAAACACTGTGAAGGTTTTAAAAAGTCACCTTCACAGCATTTTGCTGTGAAGTTTCAAGTGTAAAATGTTGGTCTCACGGGTCTCACGAAAACAGGCTAGTCTCACATGATCCCAAGTCTATATATATATATATATATATATATATATAAGTCGGATCCTCTAACATGCTTGATATTTTTTTTTTCAAAAGTTAGGAGTTTTCTTAGTTAATAACAAGAAATCTAATATATTCTAATAGAAAAACAGAATTCACGTGAATGAAGTAATCAAAAGAGTTAGTGGGAGATGAATGATGGAGAATATACCAATATTTTTTACGCAATGTAGTTTTAGACTTTAGCAGTGTATAAAAAACTTGGAGAAACAATAAACAATACTATGAATGAACAACCAATCAATTTTTTACATATTTTCTTTTCCAATGTATACATGAACGACCTTTAATATAATGTTAAATTCTTTTTGA